ACAGGAAGACGCTCGAAACTGGTGAAGGGAAATGCGATATAAAAGTTTTTGTTAGAAGTGTGGATGAAGGAGGCATATTTGATACCCGTGACTCGGCTTTAGAAGAAGCAAAGTTGAGCTACTCTAGGCCTGTGAGCGCAGGCGCGAATGCGTCGTCGGGAGAGAAGAATTCTAAAGAAAATGGGAACTTTGCAAAATCAGTCCCTGATGTTGCTATAGAAGCACCTGTAGATGTAAAAGACTGTTCCGATATAGCTGCAGAACCATCTGCCATAGCTGTAGAAGCAGTAGATGCTGTTGAGGAGCTTGACAGCAGTGACAAACACGCGTCCATCTCGTACGATACTCATAGTGCTGCTGCAACGAGCATTGCGCAAAATTCTAAACAGAGTGGTTCAAGTGGTACTCCATCAGTTCGTCAGAAGCCACGACTGTCAAGGCCTGAAAATTCGGCTGCTGCCATATTTCATGCTTCAAGTATATTTACTCCAAAGCGAAAGGTATATTCTACTTTAATGTTATTCTCCAAGTCCTCTTTACTCTCTCAAATGCATTTGCAAGATTTATGAGTAATTTCACTGCTTTATCAGTAGGCTATTTAGTGCAGTGATAAAGAAAAATGTAAGAATCAGATGACTTATTAGGTGGCATTTTTTCAGGTTCATGCACCAAACATGGAGAGCATGGTTAAGCTGGACGAATGGGATAAAAAGAAGGGAAAAGAGCCTTTGAAACCTCTAGTCACTACAGAATTCATTGCTTGGTGTTCTAAAAGGGTAACTGAACCTCTGCTTGATGTTATAGAAGGTTGGTTCTTTGACAGTTTTCTTTTGTTTTTGCCGTACTCCATATGATGAGTTAAATGAAATTTTTTTTATATATATATTTTTTGAAATAGATTGTGAAGTTATTCTGTGCTTTGCAACTCGTTCCTACTTTGTACCTTGTAAATCTAGCTTCACTTGTCTGCGCAAGTTTTCTTAGCTTTATCTTGAAAGTTTTTTGTGTGTGATGGTTTTAGAACGTGTCGGTGACGGTCTTAACGATGCGTCATGCAAGAAGAAGCTACCGACTGACTGGGCGTATTCTAAACGCGAAGTTCTTGTGCAAGTTGCTGACCTAGAAAATCAAGTGTTGGAAAATAATCCTGTATTATTTTCTTTGTCTTTTTTTTCAAACTGCATATGTATTTAGTTGTTCCTGAGAAACATTCATTTTTATTGCTTTTTTCCAGTTAGATTGAGAAAATCTTTCAAAACGTGATTGCTTTGCTAATGTAGTGAATACTGCGCTGTTTTTTAGTTTGCACAATGCGACAGTCAGTTGTTTTTCTTAAAGCCGGAGAGATCAGTAACATGTTTGGCATGGAGCTATTTACGGCCTCATATTTATACATGCGATGGCAAAAATTTTGATATTTGGCGGTATGAGGTGCAAAAAACTCCAGAAGTCAGAAGGAGGATTGACTGTGCTGATAACAATCCATACTGCTCGGTACTTTTCTATTCTAAAACGATACTTGGTGTAACCAGTTTTTCTGTAGTACTGAAATTACACTTAAAAAAAAGTAAACTTTATCCATCGTAAATTTTGAACCTTTACTTTTATTGCTTCATATTTTCAATTTTTATTATCACTCAGTATTTTTGACCAGTACATGCATTTTGTTTAGGATACCGTATGCCAGTTAGAATCAATAAATGATATGACTCGAGAGTTGGTAATGATGGGGAGTACTGACAGTTTAGTGAGAATTTGGGATCCTGGTTACTCGATGTATTCAAATGACTTCGAAAGGGAGCAACGACTCGTAACTGCAGCTTACTTGTTGAAAGACGAGCCTCGGTTTGGAGATGGCTTAAAAACTGTGTATAGGTGAGCTTAAGGATTTCTCATTTTTTCTTTTACTATTAGTATTAAATAATGTTTATTAAATGCTGCTTTCTTGTGATGTTTGGTCGTGATATGCTGTTGTAACATTTTTTACGCTTTTAAAGATGGAACCAAAAAAAAGGATTCATTATTGCTTCTGGAAATGTTGGAGTTTGTCGCTTGTGGGATGCTATTACTGAAAAAAGGAGTCAGGATTTAAGAATTATTACAAAGGCAATGAATAAAACGCGGAAACCTGTTGTGACAAAAATATGCTCGGACATTTCAAATCCTGAATTGCTCTGTTTGGGTAAAGTTTTTTTTCAGCTTAGAGCTGCCCATAGTATATCTGGACTACGTAGATTTAATTTAGGAATGAACGATGGAATGGTTTATTTCTATGACCTGAGGTTACCATCTGGTGAGAAGCAACGCGTAATGTCACTACGTGGCTTGAAGGGGTCTGTGGTTGGCCTCTCTACTTTTTCAGAGGCAGCTGCTGACGATGAAATGTTTATTATTGCTGGTTCAAACAGTGGCGAAGTTCGAATTTGGGATCCTCGAATGTTTGAGGTACTTTTCTAATCGTAATGTTGAGTGTATTTGCGAAATCTGAAGCAATTTTTAATTTAGGAACCTTTAAATGAATTTAATGCATGCGTGGCTTCTAAAGCTCAGGATGTAAAGATGTTATCAATGGACGTTCAGAAGCATGGAAAGGTTTGTGCAGTCAGCAGCTTTTTTGTTCTCTTTTTTCTTAATATCTGTGCCGACTCTTTGGACATGCTCCAATGGTGTTTTGAAATTTTTTTACTCAGCTCCCATTAATTTGTCATATGTGACAACGGAGGTGTGAGTAATGGTTTTATTTCTCCAGCTTATCTCTTGCGCGACAACTGTGCCTGAGGTTCGTATTTACGGGACAAATAAGAAGTTACGCGGGGAAATAAAATATGATGATGCATTAATAGGCGGTCGTTTGGGAGCTCCTTCTGCTGTTAGTTTTCATCCTTTACGAGTTATGTTGGCGGTCAGTACAGAAGAAAGGATGGTTTCGGCATACGGTCTACCTCATTCTACGTCGTAAACAGCTAGATTTTCAGGCGAAAGTAACTGTATATCACTGAGGAATCAGTCATAGATAGCTATAGTCGCATTTTTTCAAACTTTGCGTCGATTTTTCTTCTGAGGCCTAAATTTGTTTCATGCTAATGCTTTGGTCTCTTCAGTCTTTCAGGAGCTCCTGCTCTCATCTTAGTACTTTTGACTTATAGTAATTCCCAGACGGATGCAAATTCTTCATTTTTTTTTGCTGTTATCTCTGCTGTTTTCGTGGTTCCTCTCGCTACTGTGAGCGGGGATTGTCTTTGAAGGCGAATGCATGAATAAGTTTTAGCTGCATTAAACATGTTTTTTACTGAGTTTTTCGGGCCAATTTAATATTCTATTTTGAAGCTAGTTTTATGGGAAATTTGGTTTGAATAGGTTAGCATATTGTACATATATTACTTTGATAAATTCGTTGGAAAGGTTTTAGCATGTTCCTGATGAGTTGGAGTAAGTTATTTCTATGCCTTATATATATACAGCTAATTTGTAAAATACGCACCATTTAAGTAGCTTTTCTTTTGAATTGCTCAGTCTTTAGTTCCAAGTCTTGTTGTACAGTCGCATCATTTTTTCGCTATTACAAGGCTAATGATATTTGGCCTTCATTGTTTTTGAGGCTTTCTTTGCTATCATTAGTTTCCTTTTCGATGACATAAAAAATACGTGTATCTTTCAAACCGGGGTAAATGGGTACGTCACTGAAAAGATCCTGTTTTTTATCTTTTTGGTAAAATATCAATTCTTAGGGTTTCCTTGAAGATGCGGTGACAACCCATTTCCAGGTGTATAAATTGCTCAATCGGTGTGTATATAAATGTAATTGCAATTGATCTTTCTGCCTTAATGTTATCTTGCGGTGCCACCAGATGCTTTGTAAAGTTGCATAGATTTGATATATTAATAACTTGTTTATGATGATGGAATTCATTAGTTTCTAGTGTTTCAGACTTCTAATTTTTTTGGCCTACTGATGCAGTTGTAAGTAAAGTTTTGTTAATCATTTTGAAGTTTGTGCTTTCCGGTCATTTTTTTGGAGTTTCAAATCGCATCAAGCTGGAACATGCATTTTTTTTGGTGTGGAGGACCTAATTATATTATTTGTCTTTTTTTCCTCAAGAGATGAACAGATTGAGATCATGTGATTACGGGTTTATGTAATAGCGACCAACTTCTCTTTGGTTTCTGGGTGAAAGTGTCAAGTATCCTTAGTTTTCGTAATCTGAATAGGTTTCAGTAACGGCAGAAAGTTGTGGTTTTAGTCAGGTCCAGAGATTCAAGTTCAGGTTTATCTTAGGGACGATGAGAGTCACGTTGTTGGCGTTGAAAAGGCTTTTGCCAGTATTACAAAAGGTTCCGGAGGCGTCACAAAAGTATTTACAGGTAGTTCTTTTTGCATTGGCGTCACAGCTGAAGGGGTGTATTTTAAATTGCGTTTGGCGGAGTTGGGTTTGATTTATATCTGCTTCTTGTGGTCTTCCAGTGCCTTTTTGGAAACTGGGATGATCTTGCTCCAAGGGGTTCAGTGTTCTGACCCTTCCAGTGTTGCTTCAGATGCTTGAAGGTGGTTTTTTGTTCATTATTGGTAAGACCTGTTGACTGAGTTCAACTACTGGCGGTTAAGTAAGGGTGTACCAAAACTGTTTATTTAAAATTATTTAGGTTGCAATTATTGGACCTCCAAACAGTGGCAAGTCAATGTTGGCTAATCGGCTAGCTGGGGCAGAAGTTTGTGCCGTTAGCAGTAAAATGGATACGACTCAACAGAACACGTTATTGGCGCTTACAGAAAACGACTGTCAGCTTGTGATGATTGATACTCCTGGCACAGTTGGAATCAAACATGCGAAGGAAACTGTTGGTAAAAATGCTGAAAAAATATTAACAGGTGACGTAGCTGTTTAATTTTGTGAGATCTGAGCAGTACGAAGTCGTACCTTTTTTTGAAATATTATTCATCTGTGTTAAAAATTGGTTTCCTAAAACACATTCCCCATTCTCTGCGTAAAACAATTTTCTCCTTTGGTGTACTTCTCCCATTTTTCTGTTCTTATTCAACAAATTTAGTTTTTTTTTTTTGTGATGCCAGAAGGTTGAAATATTGAGCCATTGTAACTCTTACCGATTCTAGCGGACTACTTTCTCAAAGTCGCTGGCACTACCATACGACTTAAATTTCAAATTAATACTTTAGATCCAGAAAACTCCTTAAAATTTGCCGATCATATTTTGGTTGTACAGGACTCCACTGCTACTGGTGACTATATACACCACAGAGTATTGCATCTTTTACACCGGTCACTTCATTTGAAGTCTTCTCTAGTTATGAATAAAATTGATTTAGTCACAAGAAGGTAATTACCTTTAATGCATTACTGTGTGTTGTAAAATGTAGCTCAAACTGTTGCAGTTATAATTTATTTTTAGGAAGGATCTACTAGAACTCGTCAGAATCCTTTGTAACGGTCAGGTAGGTGGTCAAGAGATAGCCACTGTTAAAACGCAGATTGGCCGACTGGGCAAAGTGAGTGAGAAGGGGTTAAGTTTGCACGCAAAAGATCTTTCAGATAGAAGCGATGAATGGCAACAGATGTACAGGTCACCCATAATTTCCTAATACAGTTTCAGAGTAAAAATAAAATTTTATTTGCACTTAAATCTTCTCGATGGTTTTCATTCCAAAGATTAGGTAAAAATAAGTAACAGTAATTCTCCCTGTGCGATTATGCGTGCTGTCGGATATTTCGGTAATGGTCCAGAGACAATGGAAAGAAGAAATAGTGTACTGGAAAGTTATTCTTTCATGTATTCTTGTTCCAGAAAACTGATGCTGAAACCAACAAGTCACTGTACATATGCAGAGACTAAGAAACTTTTTCAAGATATACGTGGCTGGCCAAATTTCAGTTCAGTTTTTTATACAAGTGCGCTCACAGGGGAAGGTGTGGATGAAATGAGGAAATTTCTCATGAGCCAGGCAGAAAACAAAGTAAGTTTACCGTTAAAATGTTCTTCTGGATCTCTTATTGCTTCCTAAATCACTACTTCAGTAACTGCCAAAGAAACATTGATAGAGGAAGCAAGAACAACTCATCGTAATGGTTTTGAAAACGCTACTTTTTAGCCGCACAGATACGACCCTAATCTGATAACGACTAAGAAACCACAGCTGATATGTCGAGATGTAATAAGAGCACAGCTCTTGGACAACCTGCCGGGAGATATTGCATACAGTCTGAAGGTACGAGCATTTAAAGTTTGTTAAGAATTACTACCTGTTTTGACATAAACCCCCGTCGTTCTGGCACCTACAAACCAACACTGAGACTGCGGCACGAAATTCGACTGATTAAGTGAAAAAAAATTTTGGCGCTGTTTAAACAATGCTTTTAATCGCCTTCCGTTCATAGGTAGAACAGTAGAACTTCCGTCACGAGTGCAACATGCGTTGTTTCTGCCTACAGAGTTCCTGTCCCCTGTTCTGCTTAACAGTTTCGATAAAGCATTTTTTTTTTTTT